GACCTGTAGCGTTTCTGGTGGAACCAGGCCCACAGCCTCCTCCGGAAGCTGCACAGCACAGTAGGTGTTCATCAGCACCTCGATGGTTCTCGGGGATGTGCACCACCGAGCCAGCACCTGCAGGGGGAGCTGTTGAGGCCATGACTCCCACAGTAGGTGGTTGTCCCAGCCATCAAGGCAGGAGGTAGGGGCTCCCTCAGTAACTGTGCAGACCTGCCATCCACTAATCCATAAGGCTGTGAGGACCTAGTGCCGGACTGTGTGGCTGACCTGAGACACACACTCCAAAGAGCAAGACCTCTCGGATACCATGTGAAGGGAAAGAGCTAGAGAGAGGTAGGATAAGGGAGCTTCGAGGCGGGGGGATGCACAGAGGTTAGGCAGGACCACGAGGGTGAGAAGGGAGCTTTGGTGGCCTAGTGGTAAGGAGTTGAACTGGCAACTCAGAGGTACGCAGTTCTAATCAACCAGCTGCTCTTCAGGACAGTCTTCTCCCATGCAATTAACTGCTTCTGAAAACCTGCTGCAGGGTCAACTTGGTTAAGAATCAATGGTACACAACAACAACAATACAACAGAAGAGTGAGAGGAAGTCAGTAGAGAGCGCATGTCAGCCAGGACATGTGAGCCAAAGGCCAGAACAAGGTGGCTCCAAACAGGGCGTGGTGAGAGTGGTGGGGCTCATTCTGTCTGGCCATTGAGCAAACATTTACTGAGGATCTGTGTGTGCCAAGTAGCAGAGATGCAGACAGACAAGGTCCTTGATGTTGCTGTTATATGGCATCAAGTCACCCAATAGCTCTGAAGCCTGCCCTGTCCTGAGCCAGCCTCACTGACTCTCGTACCCCTACCCACTGCCTAGTTACTGTATCAGTCCGTCTAATGCAGGGTCTTCCTCCCCTGTGCTGTTGCTCCACCCTTCTGAGCATCATGTCCTTCTCCAAGGATAGGTCCTTCCTGACTACATGCCCAAAGTATGTGAGACAGAGCTTCAAAATCTTTGCCTCCAAGGAGAAATTTGGTTTCACCCTCTCCAAGACAGACCTGTTTGTTTCCTTGGCCATCCGTGGTATGTTCAAGACTCTTCTTTCTCCAGCACCACAACTCAAAGCCATCAATTATTCTTCTATAATCCTTAGTCATTATCCAACTCTCTGATTCATAGCAAGTAATTGCAAAGGCCATGGACTGGATCAGGGACACCTTAGTCTCTAGACTGGCATCATTGCTTCTGAGTACTCTAAAAAGGTCCCTGACAGCAGATTTACCTAATGCAATTTGCCTTTTGACTTCCTGACTGCTGTTATCAAAAGTGTTGATTGTGGAGCCAAGTAAGCTGTCAACTGTTAACCTCAATCTCTTCTCCATCCATTATGGTACTGCCATAATGAGAATCTTTGTCTTCTTGATGTTGAGCTTAAATCCATGTTGAAGACTACTGTCCTTGACCTTTTGCAGCAAGTGCTTCAGGTCTTCCTCAGTTTCAGCAAGCAAGGTAGTATCATCTGCACAATGTAGGTTGATGAGTCTTCTTTCAATCCTGATGCCACATTCCTCCTCATAAAAAAAAAAAAAAAGCCCAGCCTCTCGAATGAACTGTTCTGCATATAGATTGAAAAGGTGTGGCTATAGAACACATTACAGACACACTCCCTTCCTGATTTTGAACCATGCAGTGTTTCCCTGCTCTGAGGACTGCTTTCTGGTCCAAGTATAGGTTTCACATGAGCACAATCAAGTGTTCTGGGATTCCCATTCTCCTCAAGGTGAGCCACAATTTGTTGTGATCCATACAGTCAAATGCCTTGGTATAGTCAATGAAACACAGATAGCCATAGTTAAGAAAGAAATGGAATGCATAAGTATTGACATAATTGGTATTTCTGAAATGAGATGGATTGGCATGAGAGATTTTGAATCGGATGATCATATGATCTATTATGCTGGAGATGAAAAGATAAGGAATAAATGTGGTTGCTTTTATAGTTAAAAAGGCCTTTTCTAGATCCATCTTGAAATACAATGTTGTGAGGGACAGGATAACATCCATACGCATACAAGGATGACCTGTTAATACCACTATTATTCAAATTTAAGTACCAACAACCAGAGCCAAAGAAAAGGAAATAGATGATTTCTACCAAGTGTTGCAGTCATTGAACATGTGACCAAGATGCGTTAATAATAATGGATGATCGGAATGCAAAAGTTGGGAGCCAGGAAGAAGGATCAGTAGTCAGAAAACATGGACTTGGTGAGAGAAATGAGGCTGGGGATAGAATGAATAGAATTCTGCACAATCAATGATTTATTCATAGCAAATACCTTTTATAAGAAACATAAATGCAGGCTATACACATGGATTTCACCTGATGGGATGCACAGGAATTAGATTGATTACATCTGTGGAAGGAATCGTTGGAGAAGTTCAATATCAGCAGTGAAAACTAGGCCAGGTGCTGATTGCAGAACAGACCATCAACTACTCATATGCAAGTTCAAATTAAAGCTAAAGAAGGTCAAATCAAATCTAAAGGAATCAAAATTTGACCTTGAGGCTATCCAACCTGAATTTAAAAACCAACTCAGAAACAGGTTTGAGGCTTTGAACACTAATGAACTAAGACCAGATGAGCTGTGGGAAGATATCAAGAATATCCAATCCTTGACATTGGGAGCCTCAATTAAAGAAAGAGATATACACACTTACAGACATGCTTCTGCAAAGAAAAACAAGAAAGGGAGGGGGCTGGGAGCAGTGGACCTGGTCAATGTGGAGGACAGGCCTGGGCCTGTGGAAGAGCCATGTTATGGGACAGCTCCCAGAGGGGTCCCCTCAGATTGAAGGGCAGTGGGGGAGAGAGGAGGTGCTGGACCCAGGCATGAGCCCCATTAGTCCCACATGCAATCCTGTTCTCCTTCCTCCACATTCCTCAGACTGCAGGAAGTGGCCTTGGACCCTTCTACAACTTGAGACAAGCTGTCACCCCTGAGCATCCATAACCACAGACCCCCTCAACTGCATATCGCAAACTCATTGTCATCAACTGAGAATGAACTTGTAGCTGACCCTCCCTCCAGTGGACTTTCCAAGGCTGCCAATCGATGGGAGGAGACTGCTCATCTTTCTCCTTGAAAGCAGCTGGTGGACTTTAGATCAGCAGCACGACTCCCTGAGGAACAACCAGGGCTCCTATATGCATAGACTATTATGTACTTTTAAAAAACACTGCCTGGCAGCCTAGGGGAGCAGAATGTGTTGGAAATTGGTGACAAGCAGGAAATGTGGGAAAGTGCTTCCAAAACCTTCTCTGTCTCTGGGTCAGAAAGGCCTCATCCTTCTCGGTAGGCTCCCCTTGACCTGAGTTAGTTTATGGGGATAGGGCCTTTCCCTCCCTCATCTGCTTCTGTGTCAGCCCAGCCTCTCTGCGTCACCCAGCTGGTCCCTGACCTGACCGACTCTGTCCTCTGCACGTGGCCCACAGTGCTTGCACCACTCCCAACCCCTCACACACCATTCCAAGCTCTCCTCCTCCAGGAAGCCCTGGGGAGCTGTTTCAGCCTGTGCGGCTCTTTCTCCTGTGCCTAAAGAGACCCTACTCGGGTAACACTTAGAAACCTGCTATTCAAGTTGGAGGTGGTACTTCACTTGAGAGCAACAGGAGCTGGTATTTGTTGAACACAACTGTGAATTTGGACTGTCCCGTGGGCTCTGTACATAGTAACTCTCACAGCTTCACATGGGTCATCTGAGTCAGGCATACTGTTATTATCTCTAATAATATTTATCTCCGTGGCCACTGAGACCAGGAGAGAAAAGCAACTTGTAGACCAGGAACTGCGTGTCAATTCCCACCTCACCTCACTGTCTGACGCGGGGTGGGTGCAGGGCTAGGTCAGCAGTGTCCCCCATGCTGCCCCACCTCCGCCTCCACCTCCTGCCCCGCCCCGTGGAGAAATCATTAGCTGTCAGAGGCTCCATCAGATTACAGGGAATTGCTTGTCTCCTAATTATCTGGTGTTAATAGGAGATTAATTAGTGTTAATTGTTGATTTTCTTGTATTTTCCCAAAGCGGAGACCAATCTGCCAAACTCTGGGGCTATTTAATTATTTGGTCTTGCTTAGGAATAAGACAGATGCTTCTGTCTGTGAGCACGTGCCACCCCCAGGGTCCCTCCTGCCCAGGAGCCAGCAAGCCCACTCCTCTAAGACAGGTACGTCATGACATCACACCTCACCACATGCCTGCAATCTACCCCCCAGCAAAGCACTAACAAGGACCTGCCAAGCATTGGTACACAGGACTTCAAACTGACCCAATGTGGGAAAATGAGATAAGAGATCGAAAATGAACTCAGAAAGCCCAGGTGCTGGGTGTTTGTGCTTCCCCATGTGGGTCCTGCCAAGATCTGTCTGAAAATGTTCAAATGCCCAGGCCGTCCACCCAAGTGTGCACTCTGCCCTGCAGAGCCTTCCCTCTACCTATCATGCCCCTCACTGAACTGACCTCAGTGGCATCCCATCTCACACCTACACAAAGCCCTACACAATAGCTGCCCACTGCCCAACTCAGCCTTCCATCTTTCCAGACCCTTTATAATATGGACCCATTTCTCTTTGCCCAGGGAGCTCTGATGGCTTGTTGTTGTTGTTATGTGCCATCAAGTCACTTGTGACTCATAGCGACCCTATGTACAACAACTCTGAACCCTCCTCTCTCCTGAACCAACTTTACTGTCTCTGACACACCTACCTTTATTACCCTAGTCACTGAGTCATTCCATCTCTCCAGGGTCTTCCTCCCAAGCATGATGTCCCTCTCCAAGGACTGGTCCCTCCTAGCAACATGTCCAAAGTATGTCAGCTCAAGTTTCAAAATCCTTGCCTCCAAGGGCAGCCTCATTTCACCCTCTCCAGGACAAACCTGTTTGTTCTCTTAGAAGTTTATGGTATACTCAATACTCTTCTCCAGCACCACAAATCAAAAGCATCCATTCTCTTTCTATCATCCCTAGTTATTGTTCAGCTTTCTGATGCATAGCAAGTAATTGTGAAGACCATGGCTTGGATCAGGCGCACCTTAGTCTCCTTATCGACATTGTTGCTTCTCAGTAACCTGGAGAGGTCCCTGACAGCATATTTTCCCAAAGCAATTAATCTTTTAATTTCCTGGCTGCTGGTACTAAAGGTGTTTATTGTGGAGCCAAGCAAACTGAAGCTGTTAACAATCTCAATCTTGTCACCGTCTACTATGATGCTGCCAATTGGCCCAGTGATGAGAATCTTTGGTTTCTTGATGTTGAGCTTCAATCTGTATTAAAGGCTGCAGTCCTTGACCTACAGCAAACTGCCTCATAGCCAGAGGAACATCTGGATCCTGCCTGAACCACCTACTCCTGCCCTGTAGCCCACCAAGCATGCTCCACACTTCTGGGAAAGTCAGCCTGGCCTCCCCTAAGAGCAGGGCGGGCGGTTGGACTGAGGGCTCACTCACTCACTCAAGGGCACTGGACCCCTGGCAGAGGTGCAAGGGTCGTTTTCCGTCCTGGTCTGGGAGGTCGGGGTCAGCGCCAGCCACCAGCAGCACGTGGGCGCAGGGGGCGTGGCCGGCTGCACAGGCCTCGTGCAGCGCCGTGCGGCCACCAGGGGCGCTGTCTGGCCGCGCCCGCCGCCCCAGCAGCAACTGCAGTACGTCCACGTGGCCACGGGAGGCTGCCACGTGCAGAGGGGTGGTCAACTCCTCTTCATATGTCAGAGACCAGAGCCCTGGGGAGAGGCCAGAGCAGCTAGAGCGAATGGGTGTTGGGCACAGAGGCACGTGGAGCCCCCTCCTAACCCCCACTCGCCCACCCAGTGCCCTGCGTACTCAGAGCGCGGATGTTGTAGCGGAAATCCCTCCATCGTTCTGGGTCGCTGGTATTGAAGACGGAGTCAGGAGCCAGGCCAGTGCTGTCATCTGAGAGGATGCGGGTGACAGCGCCCACATCCCCTGCCAGCACTGCCTGCCAGAAGGCAAGGGCAGGTCCCGAGGCAGTGCGAGCAATGATGGGGCAGCCCGGCTGACCCCCTGCAGGGCCTGTGCTGGGCCTCTCCACCAGCCTGGCACAGAGACTGTGCCGCTCCGGGGGCTGTTCTCCTGGAGACCAGCTCATGAGGACAGAAAGCGAGCATGTGGAAAGGACAGCAAGGGGAAAGTGGGGGTGGGTCTGTGTCCCGGGTGTGGCCTGACCGGACCATGTGGTCAGCTGGTGCTATTCTGGGCTCCGCATGACAGCCCTCCTCAGCCAAGGCCCCGGCTGCCATGCCAGGCTCAGGGTGGGCCAGCCTCATGGTGGACTCCTCTTTCCCCTCAAGCTTCTGGGGCACCTGTGCTCCCCTTTTCAGCGCTCACCTGGCTGGTGGCACCTCCAGCGTGCCTCAGCTGCCCGGGTCTCCAGCAGCAGGTCAGCAGTGCTGTGCGGTGGGAACAGCTCCTGCAGTCTTCCCAGGTCTCCGGTGTACAGCGCGTTCTGCAGGCCCATGTCACTGCACACGAGAGGCAGCGGCCGAGGGCTGCCCTGTCGAGGTCCTGACTGGGCACCCCGGGGCCAGGAGGCAGAAGCCAACCGGAGGCTCCCAGAGCGGTGCCCCAGCTGAGGGGGGGCGCCCTGTCCTCCCGGCATGGCTAGTTTCTGGGAGAGAGGACCAAAGGGTGGGACAGACAAGTGTTGCCAGTGACTGCTGGGAGTGGGCCAAGCTAGAAAGAGGCAGGAAGGTCACAGCCATCAGCCAAGAAGGGAAATGGGAATGAGGGAGGGACTGGAAAATGGAGTGTGGGCGGAACCTCCAGCCTTGAGCCTTTGGGGGAAGAGTTCTACTCCAGCAGGATGAGAGGGGGTCACACAGGCCATGCTGTGCAAACCGGGGATGTCACAGATAAAAAATGAGCCCCAGAAGGCAGCAGATCGGTTGCAGAGCCAGGACTAGAACCTGCTTCTTCAGGTTCCCTTTTTGGGTTTTTTTTCCTCACTTGTCCTGCTGGACCCCCTGCCCCAGCCCAATAGAAGAGTAGTATTAGACAACCCTGGATTTTCTGCCCTCTCAATGTAACCCCTAACCCCGCACTTTTCCCCCTGCCCCCCATATTCAAGGGCAGGTACTCAGGAATGGTTCCTGGAGCTCCTCCTCCTGCCTTGGGGACAGGTTCCTGCCCAAGAGAATTAGACATAGACTCAGGCTACAGTTTCTCAGTGCTGACACCCTCATCTCCTTCGGAAGAGTCCTGGTCACTCCAACAGGATTGTCACTCTGCTTTAGATAAGAGTCTCAGCACATTAAGTTAAGGTGGTTATGAAAGAAAAGTTAAGAAAGGAAAATGGGGGGGAGAATATTCTAAACCACTTCTCCAGGCTCAGCTCTGGATTGCTCTGGCCCCTGTGATAGCACCCGCATTTCCACTGGCTCTTATAGCCTGTGAGCACCCCTTACCTTGACCTGGCCGCTTCTCAGACTGGTTGATGGAGAACTTGATCTTTGTCTCCCCTTCTCTCAGTTCCTGACACACCCTACCCCTGAGCCATTCTCTCCTTAGGAGTTTTTACTCAGAGTTGTAAGCTGTCCCCTAAGCATCTTCTTGAGGGTAGACTCTGGGATGGATGAAGGGACACAGAGGGTGAGCAGGCAATGTATGGGGCCAGGGGGGTCCTCAGAGGAGAGAGGTGAAGACCAGCTAGAGAAGGCATTCCCAAAACCTTTGCCATGGCTGTGACGTTTCTCCACTTGACCCACACCCTTGCTAAGCCCCTTTTCTCTAAAACCATCTCCATCCCTATCCCATTCCCACTGCTTAAGGGCCCTTCCCTGTCTGAATTCCAAAGCACTTTTGTTAGAGTAGGGAGCTCCTGTGGCCTAGTCCATAGGGATTTGTGCTGCTAATGCAAAGTCTGTACCTCTCTGGTGGCTCAAATCCACCAGCAGCTAACTTTAGAGGGGAAAGATGGGCAATCTCCTCCCATGCAATTTATAGCCTCAGAAATCCACAGGAGGGTCAGCTAGGAGTTGGATCCTACTCAGTGCCATTGAGGAACCGTGGAGATTGGCTAGTTCCACCTCTTCTTACTTTACAGATAAGGAAACTGAGGCCCAGAGATTATCCAGGGCAACCCACGGAATTAGCTGCTAAGTTGAGCTAGAATCAGGGTTTGCTAACTTCCAGACCATTTTTCCTTTTTGTTTGCTCACTTTCCTTCTTTCCCTCCTGCCCTCTCTCTTCCTTGGGTACCACAGACGTTCCTCTAGGAGAAAAGGAACTAGAGCCCAGGACTGGGAAGTGACAAAGACACAAGGGTGAGGTGGGTGAACATGACCCTGTGCAGGACAAGGGAGCATGGTGATGGCTGGCAAAGGCAGTGGGATAAGAGGGACGACCTGGGCTGGACAAAAGGATTGCATTTATACCTCTGCACGTGGGCTCCTTCATGCTGCCCAGCCCCATTCCCTCCCCAAAGGAGAAGGAGCTCACGCCCCCTCAGCCTGGCTGTCACTTCTTTTTCTTTGTCATCTTGGCCTCCTGAGCTTCCATTTGCTCCTTGTCAAGCTTTAGTCTCTTCTTGCCTAGTGGAGTCTTGAAGTACCAGTCCTTGGAAGGAAAAGATGTGAAGAAGGCAGGGGACAAGAACGGAGATTTGGTCCTTGAAATGGAACCCTCAGTCCTGTCTCTTGACTTCACCCCCTTTCCCTTCTAATCCCTGCTTCCTCAGCAGGCATCTCTCCTCTCCCTTCCTGGGATTCTGTTCCCCCCCACAAGTTCTCCAGGTATGTTCTGCCCCCTCCTTCACTCTATCTTTCTCTCTTCACTATCACTTCTGTTCCCTGGGGAGTGGGCACTGACTTGATGCTGAGGAGACCAAGGCTTCCCTGGTTCCCACTCTCCAAAATGTTTCTACCCGTTTCCACCCCTTGGCTTTCCTTCTGGTGATTTCTAGTTCCTTTTAAGTGCCACTCCCATTTATTTTAACCTGGTGCTTTGAGGGAGCAGGGAGAGGGTCCCAGGCATGCTGTGGGGCTGGCTTGGGAAGGTGGTTTCCCCCTGGCTGGAGCCGCTTCCCACTTCCTCCCTTAGGAACCTCACCTTCAGGGATTCCTCCTCCTCTATGCACACAGGATCCAGATTTCCCAGACAACCCAAGAATTCCGAAGCTACCAGAGGCTGCTTGGACAGCTGCTGAAGGCGCCATTTAGTCAGCACTGACTGGGTGGCTTGGAGAATGTGGCCAGCTGTGTAGCCATCAGACAACTTGGCCAGGACACTGATGTTTAAACTAGGGGTCACCTGGACTCCCTGGGTCTCTATCATATGCTTCCAGAGCACTGTAAACGTGAGAGGACATGGGCACAGGTGGGAACATGAGTGAGCACAGACAGGCATGAGGAGTCAGGCAGCCTGACACAGCCTCACAGGTCTCACCGAATCGGGATGCATAGTCAGGCCGGGGCATGAGGAGGATGCGCTCGTAGGTCTGGCACAGCCCCTTCATCTCAGCCAGCTGCGGCTGGGCTGTGGTTCCGATCAGCATCACACGGTCCCCAGGGCTCAGCAGGCGCAGGGCTCTGGTGAGTTCCTTCTGTATCAGCATTGGGTCCATCTGCTCCAGGGAGGGAAGCAGAGGTGGGGTGTCAAGTAGGGGATCAAAAGGCTTAGGAGAAGGCACCCTCCCCTCAGTGCCCCCTACCTTGGACCTCTGATCACTTGCCCTGAGGGGTGGAGAGAGAGAAGCTGTTATCCTGTTCTAAAAAGGCTGAAAACCTCAAGCTTATTGCCATCAAGCCAGAACACAGCTGACCCTCCAGTGGGTTTTCAGAGGCTGTGAATCACAGCGAAGGAGACTGTCTGTCCATCTTTTGCCCATAGATCCACTGGGTGACTTGAACCAGCAGAGAGAGGTGCCACTTTTAGGTTAGCAGCACAACTTCCTATGGCCTTACATCCCCAGAGGTCCCTGCTTCAGGGACAAGGAAATGGAGTGGAAGTGGGGGCACTGGATCAGGGTCACTGTGGGTTGGCCTCAGGGCACTTTGAAAAGCCCTGGCTCTGCTCACACTCCCACCCCTCTGCTCAGTCACTAACACCCTTACCTCTTTATCCTCTTCTGAGGCCTTCTTATAGAAAGTCTTCTCGGCTTCCCCAATCCAGATCACAGAAGGCTGCAGGAGCCGAGCCATCTGCACAAGCCGAGGGGAGAAGTCCTGCATCAGGCTGCTGGGTAAGGGCGCATCCTCCGCCCAGCAAGCCCAGCGTCAGGTCTGCCACCCTCTCCTCACCCCAGCATCGTCAGCCCTGGCCAGCCCATTGTGTCCATGGGAAGAGTGTCAGGTTCCCTTCTGAGAATGGGCAGAGTCTCATGTTCAGTCTCCTCTATTCCTGACAAAGCAACAGTTGCTTTGGCCCTAATGGCATCTGGGGGTCCAGACACTCAAAGCAAAGGTTAGTGTGAAGAGCTTCCAGCTCTTCAGACACTCCACGGGTATCTGAGTGTCCCTTCAGCATAATGTCCACTCTGCCATGCTGGCACAGACCAAGAAGGAGAGCAGAAGGAGTCGGAACCAACCTTGAAGACCATGTGCACGACCATCTGCACGCCGTCCTTGCCAGGGTATTTGCCCTGCAAGTTGCTGAGGGACAGGTCAAACAGGTTGGCACCAGTTTCTGTGCAGACAGCGTTCACTAGCATCTTCTTCCCCATGCCTGTGGGGCCCACTAGGAGGATGGAGCGGATGAGGGGCGCCATGGCATGGATATCTGGGGATCCTGAGAGGAAGGAGAGGCACGGTGTGGGCTGTGGCCCACAACAGGACCTGGGCAACATTGTGGAGAGCAAGACCATTTTGGAGGAGATTTGCCTAGCATCGAAGCAGTCCCTTGAGTGTAGGCTCTGGTTGACAGGTAGTCTGGAGGGGTTGAAAGAGCTCTGTGGAGCTCTGGTGGCCACATAGTAAGGAGCTGCACTGCCAACCCAAGAGCATGCAGGTTCAAATCCACCAGCTGCTCTGCTGGAGAAAGATGGTTCATCACCTCTGGTGCAATTGAAAGCTGGCTGGAGGGTCAGCTATGAGTTGATGACTTGATGGCACATAACGGCATGGCATCGTGAGGGTAAGGGCTCAGCTCCTAACTGAGAGGTTGGTGGTTCGAACACAACAACTACTACTACTACTGTGGCAGAAAGATGAATCCGTCTGCTTCTGTATATACTATAGCTTTGCAAATCAGATGAGTTAGTTCTACTCTGATCTAAATGGTGGCTATGTGTCAGCATCCACCAGACAAGTTTTTATCTAAAGCTTTTTGGCTTATCAACGAAGGGTCAAAGTTCAATAGTCCATGACAAACTTCCCCAGAAAGATCTAGGTCTCCGGTACTTAATAGGTTGGGATGGGACTGGTTTTCCTGGGAAAGGGAGAGATTAAGTGACAGATTAATTTAGATTAAGGAGCTGAGAGTGTGGCCAGAGGAGCGAGTGACTTCTTGGGCAGCCCCTCTGGGTGTTATATCTAACAGGTCGATGACACCTGGGAGTGGGCCATGTCCCCCACTCAGGCACCCTGCCCTGAGCCCAGACCCTGATAGCCCTTGCCCGGGGCTCCTTACCAAGCCGGAGGACCCCATACAAGACCATGTTCTGACGGATGTCAAGCAGAGAGGCCACGGGCAGCTTCTTTGCTGTGTCAATTCTGAATCCAAGATAGATCCAATCACCTGAGGACACAACAGTCAGGTCACTGGCTTGGACTGAGAGATCTGCACATGGTGCCAGGCCCACTTCCAGGGAGTGGCCTTCAGCAAGGGAGGGGCCAGTGCAGGCTCTGCCAGGAGCAGGGGCTCACCAATGTAACCCTTCAGGGCCACCTTCTTGCTCTTCTTCAGGAGACCCTTGATGACAAGCTCTTCATACAGAGAGTCCAGGGACCTGCACAGGGTGGGCAGGGACACTCAGAGGACATTAGAGGTGGGCCTGAGGAAACCTCCCCACCCATACCCTGTGGTCAGAACTGTAGCCAGCACCAGAGGGCACAGTGTGGGCGGGAGAAGACGGGACACCAGGGCTCTGTTCCTGGGGCACCCACATGGCCCTGTGAAGGTGCTCAGGAGGCCAGAGGGAGACACGATAGACCACTTCCCTCTCTGGTCTGCCCAATCTCACCAGTAGAAATCCACTCACTGGGTTAAGCATTGCCCTCTACCTAGAAACCACATCTAAAATGCATGTTCCCTTGGGAGGGATAGTCACTAAACAACATGGGTGTGCTCACACTCTGTCTACTAGGGGGTGAGTGCAAAGGAGCAAGAGGAAGGGGACAAAAGACAAGTTGCTCAGTGTGCAAGGGGTAATGTCTTGGTGGGGACAGAACTGATAAAGGAGGGTGACAGTGGGAGGGAGGATCTGAATTATGGCAGTACTCCATCTCCTCTGTATTTTTTCATTGCACTGTGTACTTTGCATTATTCAAATCACTTTCCTATGATTTCATATTTTCTATGACCTTCACAGCTACCCTGGTAATTTGACAGAGTACTGGCAGCCAACAAATCAAAAGACTAATTGAATTTGGAAAATCTGCTGTCAGGAACATCTCCAGAGTACTGAAGAGTAGTGATGTCAGCCTAGAGGATAAGGTGTGCCTGATCCAGGCCACAGGCTTCGCACGTAATTATGTGCTATGCATCAGAGAGCTGGACAATAACTAAGGATGATAGAAGAAGAATTGATGCCTTTGAGCTGTCGTGCTGGAGAAGAGTGTTGAATATACCATGGACTGCTAGGGAAACAAACAGGTTTGTCCTGAAGAGAGTGAAAAGGCTGTTCCATGGAGGCAAGGATTCTGAAGCATCGTTTGACATACTTTGGACAAGTTGCAAAGGGGGACCAGTCCTTGGAGAGGGATATCATGCTTGGGAGGGTGGGGGGACAGTGCAAGAGAGGAGGACCATGGATGAGATGGATTGACTCAGTGACTGGGGTAATGGGGGTAGGTGTGTCAGAGATGGTGAAGTTGGCTCAAGATAGAGCAGGCTTCAGAGGGTTGCTATGAGCCACCAGCAACTCAATGGCACATAACAACAACAACAACTTGAGAACATTTCATGACTTTCTTGAGGCCACATATACTTTGGGGATCTTGCCAGGAGGCACCAGTCCATGGAGAAGGACATCATGCTTGGAAAGGTAGACCGTCAATGCAGGAAAGGAAGACTGAGTGAGATGAACTGACACAGTGACTGGGGTAATGCAGGCAGAGGTGTCAGAGACCCTGAGCTTGGCTCAGGATGGGCCAAGGTCCAGAGCCATTGTTCCCAGGGCCGCTATGAGTCATAGTCGACTCAACAGCACATAACAACAGCAACAACAAGGTCACGTAGTCTAAATTAGGTGTCCTGTCCCAGGCCAGGGCTTGTCTCCCATGCCATGGTCACTAGTGGCACAGCTGGCTCTGTACCTGTCTTTGGTCAGGTCTTTTTCCTCCTTCTTTCCTGCTTTCTTCTCAGTCTTTTTCTGGTTGGAGGTAAGTGCGCCATGAGCGTTCTCTGCTCCCCCCACTCCCGTGCCCAGATGGGAACGTGTGGCCCCCTCCCGGCCGCCGGGACCCTTCATCTAGCCTTTGCAGTGTTCAGGAGTCTGCTCTTCTTCCTGTCCACGGCCAGGTGCAGGCTCTTCAGCTCTTGCCTCATCATCTCGTCCACCTGAGGAGACAAGAGGACAAGGAAGCAGCAAGAGGAGTGCAGTGAAGAGAAGGAAAGAGGGGTTAAGAGGGAGGTGGGGGGGAAGGAAGGAGAGGAGCCGCACATCCCTGTGAAGGGGGCCACCACACCACACAGGTGTCACCATGCACTTCAAGCCCTCGGCCACCGCACTCCTGCCCTGGTCTGCACCCTGCTGTCCTGGCTCTGAGCTGACCACCAATGAGGACAGAGTGGCAATGCCCCTGATGTGCTCTCTCACCTGAGCTTGAATCACCATCTCCACTTCCTTTCTCATCTCTTTCTGGATGAACTGAGAGTCAAAACTCTGACTGGGGTGTATGCCCTCCTGGCGATCCTTCCACAGCTCTGAGCACAGAAAAGGACAGCAGTTCGGCCAGGTCTGAGGTGTGTGTGTCTGTACTTGTATACAGATGAGCAAGTGTGCTGGCACACAAATGTGACACCCCACACACACATGCACACGCATGCATGCATCCAAACAAAGGGACAGGAACTCACACACACGTGCAAACCCGTGTGCATCCACACAAGGGGACATGCACATGCACGCTCACACATACATGCACACACACACATAAACACACATAAATACACACCGACCAAAACCTAGCCAAGCCAGTCACCTCTCCCGACTCCGCTGCCTGACACTGCTTCCCTTGGAAGAGAGGGGCATGACCTCGAGGACTGTGGCCCAGACCCGTTACACTCCTGCCCCAGAGATCACACCACACACTCCTTCTCCCTTGACAACATTGTCCTCTCAGTGACATGTGACCATCCCCTACTCTCTCTGTGGCTAAAGGCCACCCAAAGGCCCGCTTCTCCCCCGTACTTAAGTACTCCTCGTGTCCCGCACTGATCACAGGTACACATTTGGACGGCAATGCTTGAAGCATATTATCCATGTCCTGCAACAGGAATGGTCTGTTACCTCAGCCGCGACTCCTCCACCCACCACAAACCCTAATGTTTGCCCCTTTTCCCACTGTGACGTCCCCTCAAAGTTGTTTCTCCTTCCCACTTGCCCTTTTCTTGTCCTTCTTTTTCTTCTTCTCCTCTTTTTTCTCTTTCTTATTTGGACCTTGCTCCTTTTTGCTCTCCTGGGCCTGCAGTTCCAACTCCTTTTTCACCTGTGCCCAAAGAGGGGCTATTTCAGAACACAGAAGAGGCTTGAACAGGGGTGGATCCAGGACCCACAAGGCCTGAGTGACTTCAAATCCAGACGACTGGGAGCCCAGAGACTGTGTTCCTCTATCCAGAAGGAAGGAGGAACCAAGTGAAGCCATGTCTGGAGCAGAGGTGCTGATCTCTTAGAGTCATAAAGTCTTCTCCAGGCAGATTTACTCTTCTTTCTTCAGGGCCAGCTACCCTCGCCTCGCTTGCATCCAACCTTGGGTGCCCCATGATTTCCTCTGACCACACCTGCCTTCACCAGTCCCAGAGGACCTCTTCGCAGCTCTGCACTCAGCTTTGCTCACTATTCTCTCTGACTCCTGTCTGCACGCCCTAACATACCTGCTTTGGAGTCTTGTCTGCAAAGATCAGGGAGGATCCACCTGCTGATTCATCTGGGAAATCAGGAAACTGGCCAGTAAGGGCACTAAATGGACAAGGAATGGCTAGATAAGACCGATTGTCCGGTAGGTAAATCGGTGAACAAGTAAATGGGTGAGTGGTTAGACAGATGTGTAGACAGACAGGTTGACAGATATATGGGTGGGTGCCCAGATAAAAGAACCACAAAGATAGGAGAAAGACAAGGGCAGTTACAGGATTGCAAAGACAGGGGGCTCATGGGGGAGCTCATGGATCCTCTTCCTATCCCATTCTGCCGTTTTCTATTCTGTTAAGGGAAATGGGAGAATTGTGTGTGAAAATGGTCCTGGGGTTAGAGACGAAGATTTAAGGAAAGACAGCAGTGTGTTGGGGGAATGAGGGCGGAGAAAAGGACCACGTGTGGACTAGGGGACAGAATTGGGGTGGCCAGAGAAGCCCGTGGGGACATTTGGGAGGGAAGCGCAGTGAGTGATTGAGGGCCCGATGGGCCATGGCTAGGAATACTGACCGGCACTCAAGAAACCACTGTCGGATTTGCTCCTTCATCTTCTCCTTCATGCCAGGTCCCTGAGTCTCAAGGAGAGAATCATAGGTCTGCACTATGGCCTTTTGGAACTGCTCTTCCATCTCCATCTGACGGGCCCTCAGGATACTGTCCTTGAGTCTGGCTTGGGACAGGATGCCGACATGGTCCACCTTGTTGCATGAAGGCAGCTAAGGAAGGGAAGAGGGGGGCTCAGCCGTCGGGGAAGGAGGGTCCTATCTATTTGTGCACACACCTGCCCTCACACCTTCTCTTCAACTGTCCACCCTCCTGTCTGAACCTGGGTGAGCCTGCATCAGGAGAAATTGCACGTGAAGCTGAGACTCACTGTGTAAATTACTCTGATAATGAGTTTACTTGATGCATCTGGGCTGCCCCCTGCCTTCTCCCCGCACAGCCTCCCGCGAGCCTCAGGCTCAGCCCCCACCCCGCCTCCCCACTCCCGCCGCTGGGCCCACGTTGGAAACCGTGCTCGAAGCCACTTTCCCGCCTCATTGGCTCCCAAATGTATTTTAAATATCACTCTGCGCAGACAATTACTGAAAACGCTGAGCTCACACTGCCAATGGGCCCGGGTGGCCAGCTCCCTCTCATCACGCTGGTGCTGTGCCCCCCCCCGGAGCTCCAGCATGCAACCCGAGCCCCTCAACTCATGCAGAGTACCCTCCATGCTCTGGCCTTCCACCAACACCTTTCACAGCAGCAGCCCTGGCCCTGCCAACACCCCCACCCCAGCTTAGCACCTCTGCACCCCACCACTGCTTTTACCCTGCCCAACTCCCTTCAGTGAGTCCTCAGTCCACCCCAAAGTCTATCTGGTGGGACTGGATCCTCAATCATGTAATTTGCTTCCCAGGTCTACAGAGAAAAGCTGGGACCCGAGAACCCTCAGACAGGACAGTTAGAGTCAGGGACAGGGGCCTGCACGGTACACACATGCACACACACACAAACATGCACATACCAACATATGTGCACTCGTGGGCACGTGCACACACGCATCTCACACACTACATGTGCAAACACGCACATACCACACATTCCCTATCACACATGCGCTTGTGGACACACATGCACTCCGTCACATACACACCATGCGTGAGTTTCCTGTCCACGTCATGCATGTGCATGTGTGCTCACACGTCCTAATGCATGAATGCCCCACATGTATGCATGCACACACCCAGGGTCCCTGCACACGCCATAAGCCACAGGCCCTGCACCATACTCCCTATAGGACAGGGGAGTGCTATGGGGACTCCAGAGTAAGAGGGAAGCCTTTGGTGAGAGGAAACTTGTTTTGAGGGTGCAGCTCCTCAGTGTGGTTTGAGTGGTCATCCCAGAGGGTGACTCTGACATCTCTCTGCTGGTCCCAGTGTGTGACCCCTCCTTTCAGACGAGGGAGTCTGGACACCTTGTGCTGCTGCCTGCCCACCCTCACCTCCCCACATTCTGAGAGCCTTCCAAGGAAGGGCTTAAAGAGTGAGGAGCATAAAGGGACAAGGTTCACAAGTGGTTCTTCTGACCGCCCCACTTCTGAACCAAACCCTGCAGGATCCCTCCCAACAAATCCCCCCTTAACACTCCCTCCACACCCACTCTCACCACATCCCGTGTGGACGGTGGGATGGGCAGTGCGGGCTCTGTGGAGGGCGCAGAGGGGCCTTACCATGCCAAGGAACTCCATCTCGGCCAGCCGGTCCTGCTGGGAGCACATCCTCTGCAGGTAGCCCTTCCACACCTATTAGGTGACATGGTTCAGGGAGGGGCTGGTGGGCTCATCCCTGGGTACCTCTCAAAGGAAGCTTGGAGGGCAATGGGGTAGCTTGGGCAGGGGTCCAGACCCTCCTTAGTAGAAACAGCAGGAGCAGTGCGTTTATGTATGGAGCACCCACACAGAAACAGCCTTTGCTCTCTACCTGCTATTTCTCTGTGTCAGAGATCAAACAGCCCTTCGTGCAACAAGAGCTGGGAGGGCTCACTTGTCAGAATTCTATGCATGTGGAGCAGATGTTTGATTCTGCCCAGGGACATAGACCTCAGTGCCATAAGGATGTGGAGACTCCAAGTTAATGCCTGCATTTTTAACACAAGGACATTGATTTCGGAACAGGACACTGTCACAGCAGAGTTGGAGCTGGGGCAAGTACTAGTCCCACAGACACTGACATTCAGACTCTGGGCCTCCAGCACTGAGTGGGGGTGGGCACAGGATGAGGCACTGGGCAGAACAGCAGGGACTTTGCATTCTTCAAGGGCTTCTCTGCATCAGGACAGTGAGGGGGTGTTGAAGGACAGGGGGACCTAAAAGGCACAAAGCTGGAGTCATCACACTCCACTCAACTCATCATGTGTCTTTTTCCCTGGGCTGCCAGGAGGCTCAGGAAACACTGACAGGCTCATTTTGAACACTGAGTGTTTCTCAAAGATCATCAGTTGTGTGCTGCTACACTGAGGGTTACCCTTCTATCTGGATTTTAATAGTCCTTCTGTTTCTGGGGTTTTACAGTAATCACTCCAAAGTCCTCTCAGGAAAGGAGGTGCAGAAGTGATAAGTAAATGACACCCATTGTGAGTTGAATGAGATTCTTGTTACTGTTATTGTTATGGGTCCTTGAGTCAGAACTGACTCAGCTGATCCTCCACAGGGGTTTCAGAGGCAGTAAATCATACAGAAGGGGACTGCTCATCCTCCTCCTGGGGGCAGCTGGTGGATTCACACCGCATGCCTTTGGGATTGCAGCACAGCTTCTTACCACTAGGCCACCAGAGGAATTCCTAGCCATGAG